TCTGGTGTCCTCAACATAAGAACATGGAACTCTTGGAGCAAGTCCGGAGGAGGCCACAAAGTGGATAAGAGGACTGGAGCATCTCCCCTATGAGGACAGGCTGAGGGAGTTGGGGCTGTTCACCCTGGAGAAGAGGAGACTGTGTGGAGACTTCAGAGCAATTTTTCAATACCTGAGGGGCCTACAAGCTGCCAGAGAGGGACTCTGTGTTAGGAACTGCAGTGGTAGGACAAGGGGTAATGGGTTCAAACTGAAGGAGGGGAAGTCTAGGTTAGGTATTAGAAAAAAGCTTTTTCCTGTGAGGGTGGTGAGACACTGGCACAGGTTGCCCAGGGATGTGGTGACTGCCCCAGCCCTGGTGGTGTTGAAATCCAGGTTGGATGACAACTTGAGCATCCTGGTCTGGTAGAAGGTGTCCCTGCCCAGGGCAGGGGGTTGGGACTAGATGATCTGTAAGGTCCATTCCAACTCTTAAAATTCTGTGATTCTATGATGCTACAGGCAGGGGATGGAAGACACTTGCTCAGCAACAATGAGCTGAAAGTTGCACTTTAAGTGCATTTTTGGGGTACTCAACCTTTAATAGATTTTTTTGACTCTTGGGAAGTATTGCATTGATTGCAACTGGGACATTTGGTTTTGGTCTTCTGTCATAGATTAGTGTTATGTAGATTTCCAGAAACAGAAAAAATCCATTTCTGTTTCTTTCCTGTTATTATGAACAAGGTTGGGATGCAGCAAAATCCTGAGATTTTCCATTTCATTGTCCCTGTTCAAAAATGCTCTGAATGGAGCATATTGGACCGTGTTCCTGGGACTAGAACAAGCTTTATGACAGAGACTGTTCCTCCAGGTTGTGCTGCTTAGTCATCTCTCTTCCCCTTCTGTCAGTGCTCGTCACTAAGGAACATGTTCTCTGGCCAGCAGCAGTGTTGCGTTTCTTTTCCTCAGTCCTGCCTTGCTCTGTTGACTGTTTAACACTCCTGTGGAGTTCCCTGCCTGGTCTGTGTCATTCCCTTCCCAGAAGTCAGCAGGCAGCTGGTGCTCCCTGTTTCCCCAAGTCCCTGCCCACTGCAGGATGAGGCAATGGGAGTACTTAAAAGGCTTCTGCTTTCTCACACTTGTTCCTTTGGAGGACAGGACTGTAATTTCCTCTGCTCAGATCAGTATCAGGGCACTGTAAACACAGCTTTGGATGACTTCATTACATGTGTATGGGGAGATATCTCCCTGTCTTCATTCCTTGTTTCCTGCCCTTTTCAACACAGCTGATACTGTTCAGTGAATCCTTTTTCAGGGAATACAACCTCTAGACTTTCTGCTGTTGGGGAATTTGGAGTTGCAGTGATAACCTGTTGAAGGAATGAACTAATTAATACAAGTTACTCAGCATTAATTGAAGAGTTTTTCATTTGTCTGCTTGCTAGTACCAGGCATTTTAACTAGAATTAAACAGCCTTGCTGCTGGGTGAGATTAAAGAGAGGAATGAATTTGCAGCTTAGAGTGTATTAAGTTCTTCTGACATCACTGCTGTCATAGTCAAAGTGTCTCATAGCCAAGAACTGTGCTGTCTGCTCTGCTGCTTATATTTACAAAATCCTGAATGTGTGATACTGTACTTGGAAAAGACATTTCTCCCTCAGCCTCCAGGACTGGCATTAAAAAGTCATGCACAGGCTGGCATTAATATATGAACAGGACTTTGGTGAAGCAGATTTTCCTTAAAAGTGAGATGGAAGCCACAAGGCCTTACTTAGTTTAAGAAAGTTTTATATTCTAAAAGGTGCTGAGTTTGTCACTGTGGGTTTCTGATAATACCATCAAGTATTCTAAGAGAATATATGTAAAAAAGCACATTTAAAGTAGGTACAATTACAAAATACTTGATGAATTGTGGTTAATTGGAGAGGTTTACTTGGCCTCTGAGGCTTTATAAAGTGATTTATAATTTAGCTCAGGAAATCTTCCTTTTTCTGCTGTTGTGTCACACACTTTGTTCTGCAAAGATGTTTTGCTCCAAGTTGTGCAGTTGCAGACTCAGGTGCAGGTGATTTGCACATGTCCACAGGATAGATTGTTATAGCATGAGTAAATAACATCTAAAAACTCTTGTGTGCTCAACGAAAGTTTTAGTTGATCCTTGAAGCAATGAGATGTGATTGAAATACCAAAAATATAAGTGCCTTCTGTTTCTGCCCCTCATGGTTCTTTTACCTCTGCCCCTACTTGTCCCAGTCAAGATAGAAAATGATATGTAACTCTCACTTTTCTGTTAAACACTTCAAAAAGGCAAAATGTTTTTGATTGATTCAAGATAATGCTGTGATGTTTTCTCCTGTGTAACAGCTCTTAGTCTTCATTCCTGTGAATTGTGTTGTAGTTGTCTAAAAGCACTTTCTGAGCAGGAGATGTCTGTAGGGATGGCTACACGCAGACTTGATTAGTGTTCTAGTTTGGTTGTTTGGGTGTATATATGTACGTGTATATATATTTACATCAGATGCTCAGGGGGTTGGATACATTGACTGTTCATTCTTGTAATCTGAGTGAAGGGTGAAGCAGGGAGAAACCTCAGTCCTGGAAGAACATTTCCAAGGTAAAATGGAGCATGTTAGGCTTGATTACTTTCAAGGAATCACACACACTCTACTGAGCAGAAATACATTTCTACACTTTAATGGTGATGCCAATTCCTTGTCCTGCTGCAGTTCAGGCCGGAGGTCTGAGAATTTGTGCTTCTTCACATTCCTTTCCTGAAGTTGTGTTGAACTGCTTGTCATGTAGAAGAAAGTGCTCTATCCTTTGAGAGAGAGTGGCTTTCCTTTTCGTGGTGAGAGGAGTTTCAGAAGGGACTTTGGGGGTTGTTGTTTTGTTTTTTAAAATTTCCCTGGTTTAGCTCTGCAAAAGGTAGAGCAGCCTAGCATTTTGTATGGCAGGGGACATGCAGCTTGTCTTAAAAAGGCCAATTCTGTACCTTTAGCTGGAGGAAAAGGCATGGGATAACTTGTCTTACTTCAGGTGTGAAACTGGGGATAGGACTAGCAGCATGACTGCCAGGCTGTAGAAACAAACTCACACTCCCATGTCTCTGGGTCTGAGGAGTGATTGGGAAAGCTTAATTATTAAGCATTAATTATTTTTTAATTCTAATTTTTTTTGTCCGTGGAAGTGAAATCTGAACTTATGAAGTTCTTAGTTGTGCAATTACATTTTCAATATTTTGAAATTAAAATTGCAATAATTGCCTCATACTGGTCAGGAATATCTTAACTCTGTGACTTTCAGAGTTCTAAGTGAATAGTATGTTTGTAACTGAGAAAAGAAGAATATCTCACACAGCTCTTAATTATTACAATTTTCGTGTGTCTTAATTTGAGTTTGGTGTATTTTACTGAGGGTATTTTACTTAACCCTCAGTATTTATAACATTTTTATCTTCTAGGGGTGAAAAGCTGGTATAGGTCATCTGGTTTTGCTTGATTTATCCCTCGGCTGTTCTAGTTTAAATAATTGGGTAGAGTTTCCAAAATTTGAGATAAACTAGGCGGGTTATTTTTGTTTATTGTCAAATATCAGGTTCTGTTTCATTCTTTTCAATAAAGTTACTGGTTGCAAATCACCAGCCCTAAAATGATTATTTGTGAAAAATTAGTGCTTTGATGGTTTTGGAGGGGGAAGAGTTAGTTGCTTTGTGTGTACAGGTCTTAGAACATAAGCCATTAAGGTAGCTCAGTAGTGGAACATACCACAGCTCTATCTCTGCTCTGAAGATGGAGGAACCTTAAAGCTTATCCTATCAAGCTTAATTGATTTGATATTCATACCTTTTCATGAAGTGCCTATTGCTGTGCTATTGCAGCCTGTGGTTTTTTATGGAAAATGGTGAGAATGTGACTCTTCTTGTTAGTTATTTGGCAAATAAGTGTGTTTTTTTGCTGCAACCATTCAGTGTTGTGTATCTACAGATATATTTGATGTTCATTCTAACTCAAAAACTTTTTGATGTTTTGGGTTTTTTTAATAGAAGCATGCCAAAATTATCACACTGATATGCACAACACTTGAAACCTTCTTCTCTCTCCACCCCAGAGTTCTCTAAGGGATGAGGCCTGTTTCAAGTAGTTTAAATATAGAGTATTTTGCACTCTGACCCCATATAAATGCACTTGCACCTTGCTGGGGTGCCAGAGTGCAGCCACCTGGGCTCTGTTCACATGGATCTGAACCAGTCAGGGGGAGACTAGTAACTTTCATTTTCTTCTCTTCAAGGAAATATTCAGGAAGACGTTTTATTTAAACTGACAGAAGAGCAGATCTCTCTCAGGCAAAGTCTGTAGTAACCTCATAGCATTCCAACCTTCTGCTGTGGGTTGGTGGAAGTCAGTGAAGCTTCCCTGTCACTTACACAGGAGATTTAAGGCATCAGGATGTCTACTAAGTATTCTGTATAAACTGGTAGACTTAGAGTTGCAGGTTTCCAGTGTCTTGGTCTGTTTGCAAGACAATACTGATGGTGTAGCAAAAACTGTCACTCTCTTGTGTTTTTTTCCGTTCATCTGTCTTTTTGTGGGTTGTTTGTAGCAAGAGGGAGAATGAAAAGCATATTAAAAGGTAGCATAAGTAAGGAATAAATGGATAGAGTGGGGAAAAAACCAACAAAACCAAACATAGCCCAAGGACTGTTAGATAATAGTGAGTGGTGTGCAGGCAGTGCTGTGGTTTGAAGTGTGCAGTGTATTGATAAGAAGAATGTCCAAATTAGACTGAGGCTATTGCATCCAAAGCCTTACTGTGTACTGGCTTGAGTCCCTGTCCCTAGGTGAATGGTGGATCACAGCCTTCATTGTGCTTGTGAACTACAGAATGAGTAAATGGAGGTCTTGCAAGTCATGTTCTGGAGACTGTTATCAGTTATGAGATGAACTGTAGACTTGTTCTGTCAGCTTGGGCTAGAGATCTGATCCTCTGGTGCTGATGTGTTTTCTTGACTTCTTCGTAGTTTTTGATGATGGTGATGAAAGGACCTTGAGACGAACTTCATTATGCTTGAAGGGAGAAAGGCACTTTGCAGAAAGCGAGGTAAGACAAGGACTGACATGGAATAAAAACTAAGTAGTTAATTCCTATTTTTTTATTATAGTAATAAGGAACTACAAACTAATTTCGTTTCCTCTTTTTCCATGTAGACACTTGATCAACTGCCACTAACCAATCCAGAGCACTTTGGAACTCCAGTAATTGGGAAGAAGTCTAATAGAGGGAGAAGGTCTTCTCTTCCTGTGTGAGTTTTGATAGTGCTCTGCCCATTCTTTGGTGTCCTTTGCTGAAGTTGCAGCAGTACTTGTGAAGCTGCAATGCTCTGAGGGCTCCATCACATCAGTCACGTGCACAGCTCAAGGATTTAAGTAATTCAGTTCCTGCAGACATGGTCATACATTGGCAATATTATGAAACTGATAGGTTTTTGCTTGTAATGCCCTTAAGAACATTGATGCTTCTCTCATCCAATAGGAAATGTGGGGTTTTTGTCCTCCTTTATACTGCACAAAAGGGTGGGGGAAAGGTGCTTTGAAATTTCTGGCGTAGAGACCATTTCGGTTGCTTCATGTCTGTGCACAATCAGAACATGATTGATGCCTCCAATTCCAACACAATGCTCTTGTAAAATAATGCTGCTTGGAAAGAATTTTGACAAAATTTCCTCTTATTGACTAAGTGCACTTAATATTTAAGTGTATTTCAAGCAAGTTCAGCTGTCAAAATTCAAACTCTGTTTTCAGAGCTTTGCAAAATAAGAAGAAAAATCTGGTTGTGGCTGTGTTTGCTTTCAAGTGGTAACTTCAGGATAAACTTGAAAATACTGTATGTTTTGATAACTTAGGACTGAAGATGAAAAGGAAGAGGAGAGTAGTGAAGAGGAGGATGAAGATAAAAAACGCCTCAACGACGAATTGCTTGGCAAGGTCGTGACTGTGACTTGTAATACAGAGAAGGCAGAGGGGTGGTACCCAGCTTTGGTGAGTTCCCTTTGCAGCAGAGTTGAGAGTGTGGTCAGGCTAAGCTCTACTGCACATCTTTGCTATAAATACAGATGTCTTGCAGAATCTGGAAAGAGCAGAAAAGCAATGATTAACATTTATGCACAAGTTAGTTTCGTGGCTCCTAAGTCTCTTCTAAAACTAAGTTGTGTTAGGCCTTGCATTCCCAGGCAATTTAAGAGCAGTTAGATCTATTGATTTTAATTGTAGTGAGTTTTTTGTATTTTTAATAATTACCTTTTCCAGTTTTTTGACATACTTGTTTCCTTCATACTTGGCTGTACATTCATGACCAGTTGCTCCAGCAGTAGATGCTGAAGGTTATTTTTATATGACTGTCAGTACAGGCTGCAGCTGTTCATTGCTATTGCTGATAATCTAGTCAATAATTCCAAGTTAACTTGTCCTGTAAAGACACTGTGCACCTTATTGGTACACACAGAAAAGCTTATGTATGTGCATTAAAAGTTGCTTTCTATACTGAACTTTTTGGTATATGTCAGACAAACTCAGCACACATCATCTGTCATCCATCAGAGATGTGTTTGTTTAAAAAAAGTGCTGCTTGGAGCATTAGGCAGGTTTGGTTCACTGCTTTTGGGAGATTTTATTTGCTGAGCTCGACATTCTGTAGTCCTTTATTTTGAGTCTTGAGGGTTAGCTGGAACAAGCTCAGCTGTTAAAATCTTCTAACTTAGTCTAAGATTTTATTTCGAGGAGCAAAAGGTAGCTCAGTACACAGATCAGGTGTGTTCCTTTCCCTGAGAGGACCTGGTATAATGTGGGATGGATAGTTGGCACTGACCTAGCCAGCTGTGTCTATCTCAGGGTAAAATGTGAGGTGTGGTATTGGGCATGTTCTCATCGTTGTATATCCCTCTGTTAATGACAGGTTTTAATTTAATGTGGTTCTTAATTAGAGAATTATGTTACTGCAGATCATGTATTTGCTTTTAACATTGCGTATGGTTTGGAGCAAAACGTAAACTTGTTCTGTTTGTGGTAATGCAAATACTGCAAATGGATTTTTATCACCTTTTTAGACTTAGACATGATGCTGCTGTGGAAGGATGTGCTGATTCCACACAGACTCGTATTATCCACACCTCCAAAAAAACCCAAAGCAAACAAACCAACTTACCTGTCAGTCAGAATGCCAAAATCAGAAGCTGGTGTGAAATAAATGGTTTTGTGACATTTTAAGCAGATGCTTTTTTTGTGTGAACAAGAATAAAGAAGCAGAGGGAATGAACAGGTTCCCATGATGTCACCCCAGTGGATTGGTTTTGAGTTAAAAATGAAATTTTAAACCTTTGTAGCTTGTACATAACAAGTCAAGTTAAACAGTTTGTGGTAAGCTGCTTCTTGAACCTTGTTATTGTTGGCCTTACTGGCTTAAATGGGAGTCGGTTTGTTTGCACAGAACTGGAAATC